AGTAGAGACGGGGTTTCACCATGTTGACCAGGATGGTCTCGATCTCTTGACCTCGTGATCCACCCGCCTCGGCCTCCCAAAGTGCTGGGATTACAGGCTTGAGCCACCGCGCCCGGCCTTAATTTTTGTATATTTAATAGAGACAGGGTTTTACCATGTTGATCAGGCTGATCTCAAACTCCTGACCTTAGGTGATCTGCCTGCCTTGGCCTCCTGAAGTGTTGATATTAAAGGTGTGAGCTACAACACCTGGCCAGTCATTTTTATTTTAGCCATTCTATTATGGCTAAAATAAAATAGTAATATCTCATTGTGATTTTAATTTATATTTTCCTGATAACTAATAAAAAAGTTTAAGCACAAGTTTATATGTACACATTGTTTGTTTATCTTCTTTTAAAGAGTATCAGTTCAAGCTTATTCATCTGGTTTTTGATTCGTTTGTCTTTTTATTATTTACTTATAGGTTTTATTCTTGGATTCTGATACAAATCCTTTGTTAGAAATATATGAAGCCAGTAATTTCTCGCAGCCTGTAGCTTCTTTATTTATTTTCTTAGTGGTATCTTTGATGAGTGGAAAGTTTTAAGATTCGATGAAGTTCAGTTTATCGATTTTGCATCATACAGTTTATGCTTTTTATTTTCTGTCAAAGCTCTCTGTGCCTACCTTAAGCAGCAAAGATATTCTCTTGTGTGGCCTTTATAGATTACTTTTGTGTGTATGATTAATTCTGAATTAATTATGGTTTATGGAATAAGATAGGGATTGAAATTATTTTTTTCCCCACAGGGATGTCCAGTTGCTTCAAAACCATTTGCTATGTAAATACTTTCCTTTCCTCATTGAATTGCTGTGGCAGCTTTGTTGAAAGTCAGTTGACCATATATGTATGGTCTGTTTCGAGGCTATCTTTAGGCCAGTACTACAGTTTTGATTACTGCTGAAATATTGATAGAGATTGTATTAATATATCAGTTTAGGGAAAATGGAAAAGCAGCTTCTTATCCATGAACATGTTGTTTCTTCCATTTATTGCGCCTTTGATTTCTCTTAGTGCTACTTTGTGCTTCTCGGTGTAGAAATCTTACATATATTCTCTCTGGCTTATTCCAAAGCATTTTTTGTGCTGTTGTTAATGGTAATTTCTTAAAATTTTATTCTCTTGTTTGTTGCAAGATTTGCCAATCTGTTAATTTTGAGTCTGTTGCTCCCAAGTCATTAATTTTTTTCAACTCCAGCAAAGTGCATTTCAGTTTAGTACTGAAAGAATATGGAAGTCAGTTAAAATAAATAAACTTTGCAAAATTAAACTTAGAACATACCTATTCTGTTAATTAAGGGGTATCAGTATTTTGTCTACTTGATTGATAAATGCTGTCTTCAGAGGTCCCTGTTTGATTCAGCTGGCATTTTTTGAGACTATAAGGAAGTTCGTGGTTTTTTTTGTTTTTGTTTTTATATGGCTGTTTCTGGTTTCTTCATTAGGTAATAACCCCTAGAATACACAATGCTTTAGCTTACATCTGTCTTTTATTTGATAAGTGAATCAATGAAATGGTACTAGCGTGGGCTCTCAAGAGTAGGAAAGTCTTTGGCTAGTGAGGATTAAAAAAAAAGAGCAAGATATAAAATAAGACTTGACAACAGAAGGAAAATGACTGTGATCTTTTGGGGTCATAATGAGTCTGCCTCCCACATGATATCTCAGATTTAGAAATAGTAGAAACAAAATTAACATACGCTTTAGGATCAGAAAGTCTTTAAACCTAGGATTAGGGGCTTGTTTTCCCATTAGCAATAAAAAAAAAAAATTTAGTATTTTATGTGTAGCCCTTTTAATTGAAACTTCTTAAAACATTTAGTGCATTCCAATTTTAACTCATAGATATATTTGGACTGGGTTTTAATTTCTCATGGCTGTAAAACAAACTATCACAAACTTGGTGGTTTCAAATATTTATTCTTCTGTAGTTCTGCAGAATTCCAAAATAATTATGACTGGGCCGAGATCAAAGTGTTGGCAGCACTGCACTCCCTCTGGAGGATCTGGTGGAGAATCCATTGCTTGTCTCTTCCAGCTTCTGGAGGGTGCAGGCATTCCTTGGCTTGTGGCTACCTCACTCCAGTCTTCAAGGGAGGCATTTCAGATCTCTCTCTGCACTGTCATCAAATCACCCTCTCTCCTGTGTGTCATATTTCTCTCTGCCTCTTTCCATAAGAACACTTTGAATACATTTAGGGCCCAACCAGATAATCTAGCAAAATTCTTCCCATTTCATGAACTACAACATAATCACATCTATGCACTCCCTTTTTCCAGATAAAATAACATTTGCAGGTACTGGATATTGGGACTTGATATATTTGGGAGCCGTTATCAGCCTACCACAGACAATTATTCGTGTTCTTAGACCTTCACTTTGCTCTGAAAGTTACTGTTAGAACAGATTGGATGGAGCTTTAAGCATCCCAAATGATAATACTTATTTTCTTGCTATAATTGCCATTTTTTAATGAAATGTACCCATTTAATAAATGTTATAGAATCTGAATAGACTTAAAGCCTCAGATGGTAAGCCACTTATTTCAATTAATCAGGAAAATACCAAATTAGAGAAAGGGATTGAATTGTACTTTGACTATCACAGAACTGTATTTGACTCGTAATTAAGTTTAGTAATATTTTTTTAGTTTAAGGCAGCCAGTAGTTAATTCCTGGTTTTGTAGGGCTTTCTTAGTCAGATTGGTGCATGATCAGGCCTAATCTGTTCTATTCTTTGTTACCAAGTAGACTTCCTATATTGGCCCTTGAGAAATTACCTACCTTTTGATCTTTACCCCTAGTCTATAGCTACAAATTTAGAACAAGTTCTCCAGGGCCTTAATGCATGTGACATACTGATATTAAGAGTTTTCCCATGTAAATGTGTCATAAATGTATCCTGGCATATTTGAATATGTTATATGTAATAACATTTAGTCATACTAAGCTTGTTAGACAAATCTTCCCTTAGTGTTAGAGGAATGGGTCAGCTAGAGAACTTCAATGCAGCCAATTCCACTTTGGCTTAGGGATATTGCTTGAATATCCCAATTTATGGATTGCCAAAACCTTAGTATAGAAATAACTTTTATGTGCATCATTTGATAAATCATGGGCAAAGAAGATTAATCAATAAAGCCTTAGTTTCCTTTTCTTCAGTCCTTACATTAGTTTAAATATTTGGTAACTGATAGATTTAATAGGAAGGGAGATAGTTTGCCAAAGGAAAAATGGAAGCCTAATTGTCATTGTATGCCCTAGAATCTCTCACAGTCTATGTGATGCTTACCAGGTTCTTCTGTGTAACCAAATACCAGAATAGCATTTACTATGCTAGAGAGGATCTTCAGCAGTATGGAGAAATTCATCGTGAAAATGAATCTATTATTAAGGTAGGCTGTGTTTTAATTAAAACTTACATATCTTACCAATTCTAAATTGAGAATTGAAATCATTTTGCTTCATGGTACTTGACACAACTTACTGAGTGACTGGCCTTAGGAATTTAGATAATAATCAGCATGATACTTGCAAATTTTTGGTGCTCCTGATAATGTGCGTAAGGCAGTCAATGAAAGAATTTAAATGATTGTACCATTAATTGAAGAATATATCAACCATCCACCTTGGATGGGTCATGAAATGTGCATCTCTGGTTATTTGCCTTTTTTTATTGTAAAAACTTGGGGGAAAAAAGTAAGAAATTAAAAAAAAAAACTATTCTACATTAAAAGGACATTCCTAAGTTGACTTTTTGAAATTAAAAAATGAAACTGTCAAAGTGATTATTGGATAAATACTATCTTTTGATGATAGATTCATTTTCTTGATGAACTTCCCACTGCTGAAGGTCCTCTAGCACAGCAAACGCTATTTCTGGTATTTGATTACATAGAAGAACCTGGTAAGCATCACACCGGGTGGGAATTCCTTATTTACTTAAGGGTAAGAAAATTTACATATCTGAATTAGTGCTATTGTTATCCCCAGAGTGTTTCAGTGAAGTGTCTCTAAATTTAGATAATCGTTTCCCATTTGTTGAGAGATTTCTGAAAAGCAAATGACATATTGATCTTTTCAGAACTGTTAGATAAAAAGAGGAGGGAAAATCACAGAGAACATAGACGAAAAGGAGGGAAGGAGATAGGATAAGTGATAGTAGAAGTGATACTTATTGGATAACTAGTGAGCTACATGTACATGAGCATTTGAGAATTTATGAATTGGCATAAAACTTTCAGGTTTTGACCCAATAGTGTAAAGAACTTAACTGCATGTTGAAAACAAACATTTTTAGACTTTTTAGAAAATTCCCATAAGAAAGGTTCTTTAATGAATTGATTTATATCCAAATATTTCAGTTCTTTAAGTTATTTCTTACAAATTTGGCCTAGAATAACCAGTTTTCAATAAAAATGTATGCTTGGGGATTTATAACTTTAAAATCTTCAGGGCTGGGGAAGAAGATGAAAGTTGTCATGTTTATAATTAGATATATGTTTATTTAAAATTATGATTGTATAATCTAATTTCATCAGGAAAAACTAGTAGTCAATTTTATAATGCTATCTATAACCAAGCACATTGTATAAGGAAAGCTTCATTCTCTGCCTAGTTTGTGCTCTTCCTGTTTCATGTCCTGCTCCTCTGCACGTACCTATTTCTATTTGTGTTAGTCATCCTCTCTAGGTAAATTGTCCATGAGACCAATGATTCCGTGAGCAAATTATCCAGAAAATGCTGTCTTTGCACGTTGTGACAGATCATGTCACTGGTGGATTTATAGCTACTCCAGTGGTCTAATTAACCTGGCAGTTGTCTCCTGTACCCAACACTGTTGTTTCATTGCCTTGGCATTTAGTTTTCATCTTCTCATTACCTTCGTAACTAAAGCTAAGATTTATATATTTTTTTTTAATCTCAGCTCTCCCCTACCCTTATTTTTGATTGGCAGTATCATCCAGATAAACAAAGTACAGATGTACCAGCAGGAACAGTGGAGGAACGTGTACAGAAGTTCATCGAAATTGATCAGGCATGGAAAATTCTAGGGAATGAAGAGACAAAAAGAGAGTATGATCTGCAGCGGTGTGGTAGGTACTTGTGTTGAGGAGCCACAGCATATTGGCAGCTCTTAGAAGCACAGTCTGCAGCCATTCCCGGGAAGCATTTTCCAGCATTTGCACCAGGCATTATTGTTGCCTTTATTCCTCCCCTCCATCACTGTTTTTAATTATGCCCTATTCTTAGCAGTGATTATTGTGTATCCATTGAGAAGTTAAAACTACTAGGATGTGCCTTCTTGTGAAGCCTTGAAAGCTACTTTTTATAACATTTGAAAAATGTTTGATTACACATTCTAATTAATATGCTTGATATGTTTAAAAATTTTTTTATTAAATGCATATGGATTAAAATTTTAGTTACTTTTAAGACTATACAGTATAAATGACAATCCAAATGAAGACACTATAGATAGGATGACATCATAAAGCACTCTGCTGCCTTTGAGCTCATTTTAGACTGGGTTTCATGATTATCTTCAGGATAAACTATTCCTTATGATTGGTATAAATGATATTTTAGGAATGCACATTACCTAAGCAATTTAAAAAGTCATTTCTGTTATGCTTTTTAGAAAACAGCTTCTTAAAACAGTGACAAGCTGTTGTGAGAAAGAGAGAGAGAAATGTAGGTCAGGTTTGTCACACATGGACTGCAGTTACACGAAGTGATAGGCTGTCTCTCAGCACTGGCCTAGGGACAGGAGTCCCTCAGCCTTGTGTTTGAACCTTCAATATGTACCCCACATGCTAATGGGAGGAGTCAATAATCAGTTACAGCCCGTGGGGAAAACACTCAGTCGTTCTCTCCAATAGCACATCAGGCTCAGCATCGACTAGGATGTGTTGATAAAATCTGACTGCCTCTGTAGTTGCTTATTGAATCCCCTCCCATGCCCTACAGTGGCACACCATCAAACCTCACAAAATGATTTTGAGGCTTTGTTACTACTAAGGTTATGAAAATTTGATTTGAGAAAGCGAGACTTCATTTTTAAAACACAGCATTATAAGATAAAGCCAGCGATATTTGTAAGACTTCCCTATTTATTTTCAGAGGGATTTCCGCAAACAAAAGTGTTTCTTATAGGCTGTGTGTGATACTATTGTGTGGAAAGACTTGAACTATTTATGTACTGGAGTATTTGTTTATAAGAGTGACTTATTTGTAGTACTAATCAACTCTAAGGCCTTACTACTTTTTAAAAGACTGATGAGCTTAATATTTTCTTAAATATAAGAAACTGATGGACTGCAGTTTCATTAAGTGATAGGCTGTCTTTCAGCACTGGCCTATGGACAGGAGTTCTTCAGCCTTGCAAATAATTTGGATTAATTTTCAAATACAGATTGAATATTGAGTTCTGCTTTTGCTGGGTGCATAATGAGCATCTGTCTAATGCATTTATTTTTTAAATATGTTTGTATTTCTTGCAAAAGAATGTAGAGGTGGCTTCATTTGATAAGTTCTACCCATAGGTGTATACTTTTAACCTTGGGTCACATAATTTCTATAAAAGAATTGAAACTGATGCACATAAATGTGTTGTGTTTTAGAAGAAATCTATGTTCCTAAAGCCACTACGGTCTACTGGAGATGATGATTCTTTCATGTGTTTTTGCACATCCTACCATGTAGGATGCCAGTTTGCTTATGATAAGAATAATTCACACAATGTTAACCCTAAAGAATATAGGGTATATACTTTCAGTGTTGCTGTACCTTTATGCCACTACACAGCCTATGTACTGTTAAGAACATATTAGTGAAGTTGACTAGAAGCCTGCTCTCTAAAGAGAAAGAGGTAGGAGGGTGTCAGGAATCATAAAAATATTCTCTCGAGAAGCTCCAGGGAGGGGTAGGCCAGAAACAGAAAGAAATAGGAAACCAAGTTAAAAGTGAGCATAGAATTGCATGAAGGAAGGTTTAAGAGATGTCAGAAGACAAATAATCAACATATTCATGCCTTTTTCTTTGTCTTTGAAAGGTCCTTGGAACTGTGAATTTCTTTTGAACTTTGAGTCCTAGTTTTAAGCTCTTAATAGAAGTGCCTGTGGCCTACTGTGTCACAGAGTACTCCTGTAGGTCATAGATGAGGTCACAATGAAGTTTAGACAAACCAAATACTGTGAGAGTTGGACCTGATTCATGATTCAGATAAATAGTTTGGAATTTATACAGTATCAGTTTACCCTTCAAGCTTTTCAGGCAGCATATTACTGAATTCAGCTGTTTTAGAAGGACAACTTTTCATGACACTTGAGTACCTCAGATTTAAGTACTAAATATTTCCTCCTTTACCAGAGGCTACAAATACTGAGACTTCTTTGTTTCCATTTTAAATGGAGGTTGACCTGTTTAAGTAAGAAGAGTATCCAAATATAACTTGCATTTTTAAACCTTTCATACAAGAGCTATTTTTCAAAGCCCGTATAATAAACCTACTTTCATATTGTTATTTCTTTTGAATATCATTATTAAGTTTTTCTTCTTGACTCATCTTCAGTAAAATGGCTCCCAAAAGAAGGGAAATGAACTTGAACTTCTCTAACTAAGGATTTAGGTTTGCTAGAAGGAAAACCTTTGAGAGTAATAATTTGTTAAAGAACAGGATAGGTTACCAAGAGAGAGAGAGTTTTTTATAACCAGGTCAAAGCACTCTTTTTTTCTGGGTCATCCCCTGGGGACATGGAAATAGCTTTGTTACACAGAACTTTTTCTACATGTGGTGACAGTTCATTGTAAACCTTTCTTTTCATAGAGTGCACTTTAAATATGTTTGTTTCCTGCCCACCATTAACTTGCAGTGTAAAATAAAATTGAGCTGTGCAATACTTGGAAAGAAGGTAGGAAATGCTTTATTGGCTGGTCTTGAATGCTTTCTCGTGTTTAACAGCTCCATATTGGTGCTCTGTCTTAAGGAAAGCCTCATCAATATTGCCCACAGCCAGATATTTATCTAAAAGATAATTTAAAGGAGCACTTGACATCCATAGTTTTTTGCTTCTCAAAAGAAATGATCAAATGTATTCTTTCCAATAAAGAAAAGATAATACTCCAGGGCAGATAACCTAAAGTATTGCACATATGTTTGTTTCTCCCTCCTTTCTACTTCCGTATGCTTAGTTGACATTTTAGGACAATGTGGGCCAGGCTAAAGAAAAGTAAATTTAAGAAAAGGATGAGTAATAATTAGTTCCTAGAGATTATACATTTTGAAAGCAATGTTAACTAGTGAATTTAATCAATTAGTTCCAGTTGGGATATTTACCTTATTGTCTCTGAGGATGCTTCCAAAGGCTGCTTCCAGTGTTCCCTTGAAAGGCATGTAGTTATTTAAGATGAGGCTTTGCATTTCAACCAGATGAGCACTTTGGAAAACCCTTTCAGGATTTATAAAATGTTCACATGAATAATATCTGTTGAATAGATTTTGGTGCCTTTATAAATCTTGTGGGGAGTTGTCCTTATATATTAAGCACACTAAAAACACATCAGAAGTATATCATGGGAAAATAACAGTTGTCATGATTCAGTGGCTTTGTAATGTGAAAGTCACACAGATCTCTGATGTCTTAGTGGCTCTATAGAGTGACACAGCTTATGAGTGAAGATACTTCTCTGTGATCTAGAGAGTAACAAACCTTCAAATAAAGTTACTCAGATTAAATAGTGTTTTTTAAAAAATAGATTGTGTTTGGAATCCTTGCTGATACATTATTTTATATTAAGATATATCTTGGTTCTCTGTTAGTGAATTATTTTGGTAATGTGGAACCTTCACTCTACATAAGGATACCCAAAAAGCCTGGCTCGGAGGGGGTTGGGCCAGACACTGTAAAGTGAGTGTGCCTTTGCTCAAAGCTAATCAGTTACTCTGCTTAGGTAGATACAAGAGGTCATTTCTAGTTTGTATTACACAGTTTATGCCATCCTTTTATTAGGGTAAATATTTGGGAAGATAAGCAAATAAATGGAAGCAAATGAATGGAATGGAAGATAAGTAAATCTGAAAACAAATGAAGAACATACCTTAAACCTCACCAACATGTGTCAGATAAATCAACATGTAATTTCTTAAACTCAAAATAAGAATCCTTCCTGTAAAGCATGTTAATGTTATAGAAGCTCTGTAAGAGAGAAGGATGTAGATGATATGAATTTTGGTTAACTGTTAGGAATAATGACTTAAGGCTAGTAGATATTTGTGTAATTATGTCCTAAAGCTGACCTTTACAAAATACTTGAATTAGTGAGATTAGGGTTTCCATTTACGGTCATAATATTTCCATTTGATTTTAGGAATTTCAAACTTGGTTGTAAAAATTTGCTTCAGGTAAAACTTGGGAGATAAGCATCAGGGTTTTTTTTTTTTTTTTTTTTTTTTTTGGTGAGCGTTTCTGAGAAAAGTAATAATGTGAAATGATGCAGAAAATTCATCTAGACAGTGGGGAACTGGCTTTATCTTGAGTGGGAGAAGAGAGTATATAGATAAAACTTTTTTGCAGGTTCCCTGGCCCCAGCTTACTTGTAAGAAGATGACTACTCACATTACTTGCTACTTTTACTTGAATGCAAATAACTGTTCTTGCAATGAAAATGTATTTTAAGATCATTTCTCATTGGTTTTGAATAAAAATTTGGCTAGATTCAAATAATGCTATAGAAAACTATGGGCAAGATTATACTTACAATTCTGTGACATTTGAACACACTTGGGAGTTCTGATTTAATAATGGAGAAGTGTAAGATTTTAGGAAGTTTTTGTTTCCAACTTTAACCTCTCTCCCAACTTCCACTTGGTTACTTGACCCAATTGAAATCAGTGTGTCCAAAATCAAGACTGACTGAGTCACCTTTCTTATTTTTTCTTCAACCTTGGTTTCATATTACACTCTGGTTACTTCTACTTTGCTCCATTTACAGTCAATGAATCAGAAATACGAGTTGACATTTGTTCTTTTTAAATGTTGTTTCCCCTGTGTGAGCTTTTTATTATCACCGCTACCACAGTAGTCCATCCCCAGAT